AAATTTCACGACTGGATTTGTTGCACAGGTGGCATCCTATCACAGTTCCACGCTGGAATTCACTGAGCTCCTGAGAGCGACCCATTCTTTCACAAATGTTTGTAAAAACAGTCTGCATGCCTAGGTGCTTGAATTTATACACCTGTGGCCATGGAAGTGATTGGAACACCTGATTCCAATAATTTGGATGGGTGAGCAAATACTTTTGGCAATATAGTGTATATATATATATATATATATATATATATATATATATATATATATATATATATATATATATATACAGTATATATAAATAAATCTGAAATACTAGTATATTATCAGATATGAAAAAGTTGTATCTTTGTGCCCTGAGTGGATACCAGACTAACCTCAAATCTTTTGCCAAGACTTCTTATTCTTATTTGTCCAACACCCTTTGTAGTTATTGTGTCCAAATACTGTATTAGATCATTGTGCCAATCAGAGTCAACCCTGTCATGTTTCAGTTATATCAACCCTATTATTTTTGATTAATTTTTATAGTATATACAAAATGTATTCATTTGGAAAATTAAATTTTTATTATTCCTCTAAAAGGAGTTTTCTGATATACGGTACTGTAGGCCTGATTTTCAAAGATCCTTAATAAGGAGCAATAAATTGCTTGTGCAGATAAAAAAGCATTCAACATAACAGCACATACAATAAGAGGATGTGTCCAAGTTTTTTTTTTTGAAGATTGCATTTACAAAGTGGTTTTGATTGCCCATTACAGCCAAATTGATAGTTTTGGCCTTGTTTCTAAAATCAAATTCTTTCAGACATCCATCCATCCATTTTCCGTCATTCTTATCCCAGCTGGGGTTGTGAAGGGTGCTGGTGCCTACTGTATCTCCAGCTGTCTACGGGCAAGAGGCGGGGTATGCCCTGGACATGCTGCCAGTCTATTGCAGGGCAACACAGAGACAGACAGAACAAAAAACTATTCACGCACAATCACACTCAATTTGGAGAAGCAAATTAGCCTAATAGTTATGTTCATGCACTGTAGGAGGAAGCCGGAGTACCTGGAGAGAACCCAGGCATGGACGGGGAGAACATTCAAAATCCATGCAGATAGTCGGAATCGAGCCCGGAACCTTCTTCCACCATGCAGCAGTGCTACCGAGTGTTCCACTATAAAGCCCTGGTAGTATACATCTCCTTTTTAAAATTAAATTAAAACCAAAGTCAATGTTCTTGTTTGTGAAGCAGAAGCTTTGTAAATGATACAAAATAATTTTTTTAAGTGAGTTAGAGGAAATTGCACATAAGCCAGCGTGGCCTATTTGCAGGTTTACCCTTAGCATCTACATAACCCAACTCACCACAGCACACGCTGCTGGAGTGTTCCCTCAGCTGGTCCACCTTGTGGTGCTGTTAAAACCTCTTTCCGCAGAAGTCCTCAGTCAGTCTAAATGAACTCACATGTCTCTGTTTGTTGAATTTTCATTTCATGTCACTAATGTTAACACACAAAGTGCTTAAGGCAATATTTCCCAATGCTCTCACGATTACATTATTAATGTTAATGTTCAGTCCCTGCAGTTTTCAAAGATTGTTGGCTAGCAATGCCCATATGTACCACCTTGTAGACAATTCAGACTATCATCATGCATGACCTACTGAGCACTACCAAAACAGGGGTGTCCCTTTCTGTCTTTATAAAAATCTTGAATCTTACACTCTTGCACCCACCCTGTACTTTCCTACCCCCTATACTGCAGTTTCTCCCTCTATGCTTGTTCCTTTTTTCTGTTACCTCACACATTTTTTTTTAAAGTAAAATCAACTGGATTGTTATATCCTTAGTGGAATTTACATCAGATAAAAATGTTTACAGAATACATGAACACAACCATCAACATGGGCATGTGCTAGACCAATCAATAACTTTTAAACAGTTGTTCATTCGGGTGATCAATGTGCAGAAATGGGTTAAAACTAGTGATGTTGTTTTGCAGTTTTGGAACAAAATATTGATGAAAGTTTCATTTAGAAAGCATTGCATTTTTTTTATCCAAAGGAAGAGTTAACCTTCAGATGTTTTACCGCACCAAGAATTGCTACTTGCAGATTTTATACAGTATAAAAAGTACTAAAATACCTTGCCATCTGCAGGGCAACCTTTATGTACACACATTCTGTACAGTCTGAAACAGAACTGCACAGAGATACTTATTCCCATGGCAGAAATGCTTGTATAATCCTTGGTTAATGATATACCTTATCTGATAATCCTGTCTGATAAAGGTTCCCTGAGCAATATTCCCTAATCCTCCCCATCAACAAGGAGGACTTAGAGCTTGACTTTATTGTAACATGTCAAGAGTAAAAAAACAGCATCAAAAAAGGCTGAAGCATAAAAAATCAAAAAGAACTAAATAAATACTGCAGGATGTTGGAAGTCAAGTACAGAAGCAAAAGCCCTTGTTTGTGATCTAAAAATATGAAAACACAATAAATTGTTTTATTATTTCCACACATTTATCCTTCTTAATATAGCAGAAAAAACGGCACGATAGAGGAAGATCAAAGCATCTGATCTTTGGGTCATCAGTGATAATGAATGCTGAAAGCTTAAATAAAGTTTAGCTGTCCTTATAAGATTATTCTTACTATTTAAAATGTATGTCCTTTAGATAAAGCAATGGTTTACTGAGAGAACTGCAAAAGTTTATTTTTTCCCCCAAGTTATCAGTAAAAGTCTTTGAAAAGTTTCAGAGCATTGTCTGTACACCATTGCACATAATTGGATGCAATCTATAATTAACAACTGTAACATCACATACACATATATTAATCCAAAATAACAGAATGCAACACATAAACTGTCCAGTAAACTTGTAAGAAGCAGGCATCAACACTAATGGAAATTAAGCAGTTTTCCAGAAAGACCAGGTTGTGCTTTATAAGAAAGGACAACCTTGCTACAAAATGCATATATCAAGGGTAAGGGCTAGGAATATGAAGCAGAACTCTTTTATTTTGCCCCTAAACCTTCAGTTTGTTTGAAGATGGATGTTTTTTTTTTTCCTTTTGCTGCACAGTAAACCCAAGAGTCTAACCAAATCCATATAGGAGTGGCTTCATGAGACAAAAATGAAAGCTATGGATATCTTAGCAAAGCTTCTTAGCTAAATATAAAAGGAAATCTGCATGGCAATGGATAGATGCTGTTTTACCAAATCAAGACAGACACACATCTACTCTTTCAACATTGTGTTTTAGCAATGTTATAGTTAAAGGGGTTGCAAACGTGTACATTTAGGTTAATGTACTTTTTAATGCAGATTTTTTTTGGTTCAGTTGATCTTTACATAACAGGTGACCCATATTATACAAATTAATTGTTAAATGATTATTACATCACAAAAAACTCCCTATTTAAATTAGCAATATCTGTTTTTCACTTAATTCGAAGTCCAAGGACCCTTAATCCCCTCACACTAGACTCACATGGGAAGCTACACTGTAGCCACAACTGCAGTACAGAGACTCTACTGAACCCTCTGAACACCATCAGTAAACAGCGCAAGTGAAGTGCCTTGCTCAAGGACACAACTGAGACAATAAGAGGTTGCAGTTATAACAGGCACTGAAAAAAGGGACGTTTTGGTCCTGAAAATATTACCTCGGTTTTTATTTAACATTTTTAACAAATTGCAATGTACTGTCAGTATGTATACTTCAAAATGACACTTTTTAATTTAATGTATTGCTTAGAATTAATGTCTAAATCTGTATCCATCAAATTACAAATACATTTATTTCATATTACCTAATAGTATTAAAAAATTAATTAAGTTCCAAACTTAACAGATGCAAGTAATGTATAATTGGATATTAGAAGTAAACTTTTTGCTTTTTCCTCATCTGACCATGTTAAGGTCAGAAATAGAAAATATTGTTTGCTTGCTGACTGCGTGGTAGCACAGTTTGCAGCATTGCTGCTTTGTAGCAAAAAAAGTTCTGGATTCACACCTTGATCCAGGATCTCTCCAAGTAGTTTGCATGTTCTCCCCATGCATGCATGGTTTTCTCGCTGGGTATTCCAATTTCCTCCTACAGTCCAAGAACATGCCTCTCTGTGTTGTACTGCGACTGTCTGGCCACCTGTCCAGGGTGTACCTCACCTCTTACCCATAGACTGCTACAGAGTGGCACCCGCCCCATTGTGACCCTGACTGAATAAAACGGATAAGATGGATTCATGGATATTTACTAGTTTGTCCTATTCAACAACTGCACAGTAACTGTCTAAATCCGATCAGATTACTCTTCAATTTATTGAGTTTATTTGAATGAGTTGCATATATTAAAATAATAATGAAAATTGCATACAGTTGGAATTTAGATTTGTTGGGTAAAATTTACTAGTGAAACAAAAACACATAATTTGTGGATAAGAGAAATTTGATAGTAACTTTTACTTGTTTGTTTGTTAAATCTACTCTTCTTAGTAAGTAAAATATAATTAGATTTTATTGAGTAAAAATTTAAAAGAGTTTCTAAGTGGAAAAATTTACCTAGCTTTTCCTAAGTAAATGGTTATCTAAATGTTTTTCAGCTCAAACTCTAGCAACCTACACCACTGTCACTTCATAATACTGGGATTCTGAGTACTTTGCAGGCAAAGAATTAGCCCCAACTTCAGATCATTTAAAATGTCTCTCTAGTTACGTAAACTAAAATGCTGTTGAAAGGTATTGACAAATGTTGAAACATTTGCTTGTGATATTGTAATCAGATGAGATAAAACTTTCTGAAGTAATTTAGTCTAATACAGGAAACCAATGACTAAGCCGGCATCCACTTTTCAGAAATTAATTAATTAAAACAAATATAAAGAAATAAAATGTATCATGTTCAGTATATTACTGCAATGCTGCCAGTTAAGTGTCCTCTCAGGTTACACCTCTCCCTGACTTTGAAAACATCATGTGAGCGATTTGGTCACAGGGGGGCAGAATATTGCCTGCATTAGATGAGAGACATGTAAAAGGCTTCCTTCCCACACTATTTAAAGCCTTTTTGTGGTGGTGAAGAGAGAGCATCCAGATTTCCCGGCTCAACAGCAGCATCTCGCATGTGTAGTAAGTATCTCCTGCTTCCATGGGTGTCTCTTATGCTTTCCTCTGTGAGTTTTGAAGATGATTATGTTTTACTAATAGTTAAGGTGTGGTTGAATATATTTAATAAGTTTTTTGGCTATAATATTTAAAGTAAAAGTCTGTTTTTTAGTAATGATTCGAATAACGATAGTTACTATGCTAATTTTTAATTATAAAGTAATAATATTGTCTGATTAAACAAATATTCCTAATCTGTTCTCCATTTGTTACAGTTTATGATCATTTATTCCCTTGTATAACTTGTGTTTCAAAATAATTTAGATAATTGAGATTATTAGAGTTTATGATTTGTAATTATTTATTTTATTCCTTACATTTTAATATCATCCAATTAAATAATGTTCAATTTTGAAGTTATAAAATCTGCTATTATTTAGGAATTATATTTTGGAATGTAAAATTATAACTGCATTTCCCTTTTTATGTCTAATTTAAGATCAATGGCATGTAGATCTTCGGCATCCCCTGAAAACACATAGAGATAAGAAGAAAGCTTGATAATTTTAACAATAAAAGATGGTATTTAACAACAACCAAAGACAGTGAGTCAATTAAAAAGTCTTACAAAAAAAGCAAAATGCAGTTTTAACTAAAGGTATAAGGATACAAAATGTGTTTTCTAACTTAAATAAGACTAGTAGATTTCAAAGCTATTATACTCCTGAATCCTAATGTTAGAACATGAGACATCACAGTCAAATCTTTGTATATGTAAAGCAGCTAAAGTGGTAATTTATGTTTTTGTTTTGTTTGAGAAATTACTCAACCAGTGCTTATTAGTGCACTTCCTGGAGACTTGGCTCCTTTAATGTGTGACAGGCTTAATACAGAAACCAATGGCACATATTTACCGCAGCTGCTCGGAAATGATGGGCGTGATCACATTCTCTTTCTCTAAATCAAATTCACCATATTACAAAAGATCAAATTATACAGTAGGTTCTGTTGAGTTTTGCAAAGTTGCCTCGGTGGCGTGGAAGATGTGCAAACAAACATGGTTCAGAAGTGGAACTGATTCCATGTCATCAGTTAGTGCTGTGCTCTTACTGTATATTTGCGGTTAATGCTTGAGGGCAATGTTAAATAGCATATACATACAGTATATAGCACTAAGCTATTGCTAAAGTATATTATTGATTAAAACAAACTCTGTATGAAACAGATAAAAATGTTACAGTGGAAAATAGCGTGAGAAAATATTTGTATATATATATTCTCAGTCATATTATTGCATAAACAATGTGGATTTTTTTATTTATGTATTTATTTTTTTTATTGGCCAGAGCAACCAATTACTGGAATGCAATGATAGCTTAGAAGAGGGGAATCAATCTGATGGCTTTGGTGACCACAGCTCACTGAGCCTACAGTTAATTACCAAACTTTAATCTAGACTGACTATTCTGCCAACTCTAATGGAAAAGTCCTTGTTAGAGTCAATGTTCAGGGCCACTGGTGCATGTTAGATTGCTTAAATGTTTGCTGTGAGTTGTCACCTACTGTGTCGAAATGTATTTTTGGATCAGGTGGGCAGCAAAAACAAAACATTTTCACAAAACACTTTCCCAGACAGATTAAGAATAAATTTTTAACATCTACAGTATTTACTTGCAAGAAACAGCAGTTGTTTCTGAAACCAATGCCTCAGTAACATTCCAAGGGTATTCCCATGAATTTTTATTCACTGCATGATAAGGTCTCTTTCAACTTTGTTCACCCAGGATCACCCTGTAGGCCACATGGGAAAAACTCAAACAAACTGCAAGCAAGCTTTGAAGGACGCCATCATTTTCTTCTACTGAAAGGCTTCATACCCCAAATACTCTGTGGATCTGAATGTCCTACTGGGTAAAGACAAAGTAATCTGTGCACATTTCCCCTTTAGGCAACATAATCTTATGACTGAATTAATAATCTGCACACCATCAGAGAGAGACAGTATTCTTCAGCATGTTTAGCAGGGTTTTTGCACTCTTTACAGAGCCAATAGTTTGTTTTCGATGTAATTTTGCTGGTTTATATATACTGAATGTTTGAATCATATAAATAAAGATATGTTATTATTCTCCCCATTGGTGATTTACTGGCTCTTCAGCAAAGTGATGAACTTCAGCAGAGATGTGGTGCGCCAGACCAGCTGTTACACTTATGTCATAGAGGATGAAGATTCAGCCCTGGCGAGTCTAAATGCAGTCGAGGTAAGAATAATCAATAATAATGAAAAAAAAAACAAAGAAAAACTCTACACTCTTTTATCTCCAAAACATAAACTTTAGATGGTGACTTGGACTTGAGTTGCACTAATTTAACAAAAAAAAGCTATAGGTAAACTTATGCTATAAATACTCAAGACTTCTCAATGTCAGGAACTCGACTGTCATCAACATCCTAATTTCATTGTATTTTTGTTTTCATTTTAGGCACTGTAAGGCAAGGCAAGACAATTTTATTTTTGTAACAAAATTCAGTACATTGGTGATTCAAAGTGCTTTACATGAATTATAAAATAAAATAAAAGCATATTAAAAGCAAAAATATTTGCAAAACAAATAAAACATTTGGACCACAAAAAAAAAGCAAAATAATAGCAAGTAAAAAACATGATAAAAGCAGGTAGACAAGAAAATAAAACGGTTGGAACACAACCTTAAATAAAAATAATACCTCAGTTAACAGTTTAACTTAACCAGTTAACGGCAGTTCTAAACAAATGGGTTTTTAACTTTGATTTAAAAGAGCTCAGGCTTTCAGCACCCTTACAGTTTTCTGGTAGTTTGTTCCAGATAAGCGGAGCTTAGGAACTAAATGCTGCTTCTCCATGTTTGGTTCTAGTTCTGGTAAAAAAAAAAAAAAAGAGAGAAATTGATGGATTGTACACGGCTGTTTAATGAAATTATTACAGCTGTGCTAATTGTTTCATTTATTAGCATCAATCAACATTTACTCTAATTTACTGGCTCAGCTCTGACAGAGATGGATCAATTTAATTGTGTTTATGTAATAACTTAGGATGTCTATGGACCTTGGGCTTTCTTGAAAATGCTGATCATAACTGCTGTAGCTTTATGATAATAACATGTCTCCTAAACTGAGCTATGTACTAAAGAGAGTTTGGGTAATTAAAAATTATTAACTTAAAGGAATAGTACACCCAAAACATGATTAGCCTTCATTTTCTACTCACCTCCATGCTGAACAACACTCTGGAGTACTTTTTTGATATCTCAAATGCATCTGGAGATCTGGGAGGCTTCTTGCTGTCTGCTGACATTCAAATAATGGAGGTCCATGGCGCCCGAGACAGAAAGGTCCATAAAAGTCCACAAAAACGTGTCAATATTCCTCCATACTGCTCGTCCAATGTAATCCAAGTGTCCTGAGTGGGTAGCATCCAGAATTTACTCGAAACGAAGTCATTTAGAATGTTTTTAGAGCATAAACAGTAGTGTATAGGATTTCCTAATAGCGCCCCCATGCGCGCTCACGATTCTACGGAAGCCGGCAGACCAAACCAGCGCATTCAGCTCGGCAAAGAACTCATGCTCTTCCTCAACACTGAAGTCCTCAGACATTTTTCTTTCGTTGTTTCTTTCTTTGCACAGGTAAACAGCACATTTCTTCTTCTACGCTTGCATTATCGGCAGACCAGACGCTGAATGCACACTTTCTTCCGGTTTGGTCTGCCGGCTTCCGTAGAATCGTGAGCGCGCATGGGGGCGCTATTAGGAAATCCTATACACTACTGTTTATGCTCTAAAAACATTCTAAATGACTTCGTTTCGAGTAAATTCTGGATGCTACCCACTCAGGACACTTGGATTACATTGGACGAGCAGTATGGAGGAATATTGACACGTTTTTGTGGACTTTTATGGACCTTTCTGTCTCGGGCGCCATGGACCTCCATTATTTGAATGTCAGCAGACAGCAAGAAGCCTCCCAGATCTCCAGATGCATTTGAGATATCAAAAAAGTACTCCAGAGTGTTGTTCAGCATGGGGGTGAGTAGAAAATGAAGGCTAATCATGTTTTGGGTGTACTATTCCTTTAACTCAAATATCCCTCTACCAGTTTTTAAAAAATATATATATACTCAGATTGGTGTCTAAACTTAGTGGTTATTGGTTTAAAGGCAGGTTTAACTGGACAAGTTGTCAGTCACTCAAAGTGACACATAGGAGAAACCAAGCCATCACATGGCATACCAAAGATGACATTAGTAACCAACTAAACTAACTGTCATGTTTTTTGGACTGTGGCAAGAAGTCAATATTTTCAGAGGACCCAAGGCCAGGGTTCAAGCCCAGAACCTTCTTGCTACCTTGTAATGAATTAAAAATGTAACCCCCATGCTTAATAACAGTTTACCCATGTATTTTACTGAATCTTCATGAAGTCAACTTGTCCTATGAGTTATGGAGGTGGACCCCTCATTTAACGGAAATTATGGTTAGAAGGTTAGATGACGTGAAATGGCGAGAGGCTCTTAAATTCAGTTATAAATGCTTGAGACTGATAGTGCGGGAAAGGGACACAATGCTTTACTAAACTGGCTCTTTATAAGACCTGAAGCATACTGTAAGGGCCAGAAAAGCTTGCTGCCTAGCATGGAATGACTCATTAGAGACTTGCCCTTAAACTTAAAAAACCTGGAACTATGATATGTTTTGGATTAAAATATATGAGACTGCATTTGAATAGCCTTTCAAAGGTGAAAAATTGGAGACTTGACTTAAATTTGGACAAGATATTAACTCCCAATGGCAAGATATCATTTTTTAAATTCTAATTCCAAAACATGAGCTTATCATGTCAAACCAAGTATCGAGTATACAATAAGTTATTGCAGAGGCCTTGACCCATTGCTATTACCTTACTTTTTATTTGTCATGCTTTTCCTCGGTTCATAGCCTTTGAATCTGTGATGTTTTTCCAAGAGAAGAAGTAACAATCTACTCTCACCCCGAGGACTGAGTAAACAAATGGTTTGATGTCTCTGTTGTAAAAAGCCCTAACTACATGCCACCTCCTGTTGATTTAGAGCTATTATTTAGATTGCTGCATTTATTAAATGGGGACTGAAAAAATAAAAGGTTGCTGTGTTGTTGTATATATACATTTTTTAGTTTCAGCAGCAGGACCATCACTTGTTCAGGAACTTGCTTCGGGCGGTGCAGATTTCTGAAACATATTGAGACTATTTCTCTTCTTAGATCCATAAAAACAAAACATTGTGTTTGTTCATGGAAACTCTCATTTGTGCATTAGAACAGACTCAGAATAAAAACTGTGAACCATTTTTAAAGGCTGTTATTTAGGTTGTTGCTTTATCAAAACAAAATTCAAAATGTCAAACGGTACAGTTATGTTTATATCTAAGTCATACACTACAAGTGAAAAGTCATAATTTCAAAAATTTAACCGGTCATATTTTTATTCTTTTGCTCTTCAGTATATATTTTCATGTATATTTCTTCTTAAAAACGTGTCTTTTATTGTTCCCGTCTAAGAACTTTACTGAGATCAAGGTTAAATTTGAGGCAAAGAATAATGAACTATTGGTTAATAATAAAAAAAAAAATTAGTAACATTTTCATAAATGCGCAATTAGTTTTTGTCCACCTGGAGCTGTATTTTAAGCAGTCTCCTTCAAAAGTAAAATTTGTATCTATAAGTCAATAATTTGCTGAGCTGGAATTTGCAGAGCATTTTCTATGATTCATTTAGGGCCAAAAAATATGGATACCTCCTCAGATATATAAAGTGTACATATAGTCATCACCAAAACTCTTTTGTACTGTACTGTAACTGTGATGTATTTGAGCATTTCTGTTATATTGTTCCTCCTCAAAGGCCCATCTACAACTTCTTAGAGGTTGAGGACAGCACTATTTCCAAAGCCTTATGTTACATTGCTTTATTAAAATAATGACATTTTTTGTCCTATTTCAATTTCTTCCCCACTTTCTTTTTTTGTAATTACTTTGGGAAATGATGTGGTGTGTAGGAGCTATGCAGCATAATGCCATTTCTCTTTTTAAGTCTGTAATATGGAAATGCATTAAAGTTATTTTCTATACTTCTATGTTGCCCTGTGATCAGCTAGAAACCTGTCTAAGAAAACATTTTTGAGGACACCTTTAAAAACCTTTTTCTAAAAAGAAAACCAAAAACTTCAAATACGAAACATAAGTTTTACTTTTCTAATAAGATAAACAATAAAAAAAAAACAACAACCTTGTTTCACAGACAGAGACCTTCTCTTTTTACCTGATAATGATTTATTTAGGCCAGATTGATCAAATAAGACAGATATTTAAGAACTGACAGCAGATCGATAAACCCACTGCACATTTGATCATGTTATGCTGGAATCATACTGTGCAGTTAGCAGAGAAGGGGGACCTGACACTTCTGGAAAACCTGGTGAGGAAGAGCCCAGAGGTCCTCGGTGAGAGAGATGAATGCGGAGCCAGTCCCCTTCATCATGCTGCTGCAGGGGGCCACGTCACTCTCATTCAATTCATCACCTCTGTCATAGACTCACAGGGTAAGCATGACTCAGCCATTGATCATAGTGTGCTGCTGCATGCTCCATATGAATTATCATAATTCTATCTTAAAGGGGCTTTGACTAAGTGTTTTCTCTGCATTCTGTTATATATCAAAGAGGTCAGGATGTAAAAAAAAAAAATGCATACAATTTTTTTTTTCTTCATGTCTTTGCGTGTCACACACCAGAATTAAACAGCTGTGATGACCGGGGCAACGTACCTCTGCACTGGGCTGTGGAGAAAAACAAAGCTGAAAGCTGCAGGGCGCTTTTGGACCTGGGAGCAAACCCCAACATCCTCAACAATGCCCTCTTCTCCCCCCTACACCTGGCGATCAGCCTCGGGCACAACAACCTGGTTGGGGTGAGGAATCTGAGAGCGAACAGTTCGTAGTCAAAAAATTAAAACTGTTTCTCACCACCTAAGATTTCAATAAAATGCACCACTTTGCAATAAATGTATTTATTTTCTTTTCAAGTTGTCAGATTTTTAGACCAACAATTATTCATTTATAACTGATTTTCTTAGCCTACCTCCATATTTAGGAAGACATAAGAACAAGGACTTCAGATAACACAGGTGTATTTTGATAATTTTTGGATAGAAAATACGAAATTGGCTAAGACGCCCAAACTGCTAAGTCAGAAAAATGATTAAAAAAAACAATAAGACTGGATGAGGTCTAGAGTTTGTTTCTGCCACTATGCAGATGGAGGGTGATGATATAAAAGCTGCAAACACTAAACTCATTGTATAGGAACTGCAGTATAATGTATAAAGAAAACTAAGATGATATGGAGTTATTATATTCTTGAAAATATGCGTGAATATGTGTCAATCTGTGAAGAAATTTAAGTGTGAATACTTCTGCGATTTGGTCTCAAATTTAGCAATGCAACATTTAACTAATTAAAAAAATTGTTTTAAATATTTGTATGACATTTTGTCCTACATACTTTTGAAAAGCCAAAATACTTCATATTCTATACAGAATGACACAGGTCTTGGTGAAGGCAGCATTTGGCTCATCTCCATAACCTGACACAGCATGGTGCAGAACCAAGGACGTATTGTTAGGGCAGATAATGATGTCACAGACTGGATGACGCTGATTAAAAAAAAAAAAATCCTTGCCTCCCTTTAGCTGCTTTTGTCCTACAGCGTGACAGACTGCAACCTACAGGGAGACCTTGGAAACACCCCACTCATACTGGCCTGCTCCCTAAATAACTGTGAGGCTTTGAACATGCTGGTACGTACCAAAATAAGTTTCCAATTGTATGATTTGCATTAAAACAGAGCTGCATCTCTTTAGAGGATTACAACTACTTTACTTCTCATAAAACATAACCTCTTCTTGTCCATATTTTTAAAGATAAAGCATGGAGCCATGCTGTGCAAACAGAACAAGCTGGGTCATTTCGCCATGCATGCTGCTGCCTTCGCGGGAGCAAAGAAAGCTATGGAAGTCATTCTTAAGGCTGGTATGAGAAAAAAACAGGATTTGTCAACAAAAAAATCCCAAACTGCTGACAGCTATGAACATTTCTTGCAAGGCCAAATAACAAATTAGGCTGATAGATAAGGGAAGCTCATCTTGGCCCTGAAATCCTCAAGATGCATTTTCAGGAAAAATGTTTAAGAACCTAATGCTTCAGAGTGATTCAGTGCTTGTGGGGAGACTGTTTTGTAAGTTTTGGATTGTTAAAAGATGTTTACTTCAAGCACAATGCGGTTATAAGGTTTTAAAGAGTTTCTGTACGGTATTAACAGTGTTAGTTTGTTAGGATAAAGGTTGTATGCAGCATATCGAAAACATTACACCAAAAAGTAGTGCTTGATTTGTTTGCAGGAGAAGAGAATGGTCACAATGCAGTGTCCCACATCAACTACTTGGACAAGTCTAAAAGCAGCCCTCTCCATCTGGCTGTGCGTGGTGGAAATTTTGAGACCATCCGTCTCTGCATTGCCACTGGGGCCAAAATCGACCAGCAACAAGTATGAGACTGACAAATATCATAAACATGTCAACGGTGGTCTGCAAACACTTACACTTTCCCTAAATGCAAAAACAATCCATCACAACACAGATGTTCATTTGCTTAGTACCAAGTTGTTTTCCTATCACTTACGTTGACATAGTTATAAGCAGAACGCAAATGGCCCGAGTCCTCTTCCATCTGTAAATTGCATGCTTTGCTGGATTTGCATTTTTTTTTTGCTTAGCTTTTTAATCTACGGCCCATTTGCCTACACCTGTACAACATTTTCCTGGCAGTTATGCTACTTGGAAATGTCTGTCTGGTCTCTTTCTTTCAGGATTGTTTGTTTTGTCCAGCTCTGGGCTAGCGGCCAGAGGTACGGCCTGAATAGGGGTTATAGTAATAGCTTTAGATAGTTAAATTGATACAGATTACCTCCTCTTACACTATGGAGCTGAGTGGGGCAATCAGTACTATGTTTTCTGCCTGTCTCGGTTTTCACATCAAAGTTTGTGTGACAGCCTCTTTTTTTCAGGAATTTAGAGGTACACCTCTGATGCTTCACAAGAGTAGTGTGTGCAAGATATGCTTGCTTACATTATAATTTTTGTGTTTTTTTTAATAACATCTTCATCTTCAGAATGACCGTTCCACACCGCTTCATTTGGCCTGCACTCAGGGGGCTATAGAGGTGGTAAAATTGATGCTGTCCACTGTGGACCAAGTAGAAGATGTCATCAACCTGACTGATGGAGCTTGCCAGACCCCACTGCACAAGTAGGTGTTCTCCTATCATCCCACCCAGAATGAATGTCAACAATTAGCCTTTACTCTTGTCTCCTCAGAAAATGTCTGTGTTTCACAACAATCGTGCACTTGTTGTGTGTGCCTTTTTTCCCCCCACAAAGTTTTATATTATGGCTTCATCTTTGTTAAATAAGTAATGCATTATGAATAATAAATCATTATTTTGCACACTTATGCTTATTACTTATCACTATAGACCAGATACTGTAGTACATGAGCAGAGCATTAGACAAATCAAACACAGAGAAAAGTACACTGCAGTGTCTAAATAGAGACTAGACAAAAAAAGTTTGATTACAGAATTAATTCAATTAAATTATTTATTCAATTCAATTGACAGTGGAGAGGAAAAAACACCATTTTAACAGGAAGAAACCTCCAACAGAACCAGGTCAGTGTGAGCGGCCATCTGCCGAGGCTGACTGGGGTTCAAGGAGACAGAAGTAAAAATACAGAAAGAAGCAGAATTAATCTATGAATGTTTGAGGTAATGGTTTAAATAGAACCAAGACAGATCTAAACAAATGTAGGATTTTAACATTGATTTAAAGGAAATTAGGATTTGTTCCAAATAAGTAGAGCATTCAAACTGAAAGCTGCTTCTCCATGTTCATTTATTGTTCTGGGTAGGCAGAGTGGACTTAAGGCAGAAGACCTGAGGGGTGTGGGTGGGTTGATATGTTAAGTAGTCCATAATGTATTTTGGTTCTGAGCTATTCAGTGATTTATAGACTGATCGACTGTATTAGGTGTACATGATGACATACGCGGCCGGGTAAAAACAAATTAAAATTTTTGCGGAGAACATATTTTTTTACCTTTTTTTTTGTTTTTTGTTTTCTCATTTCACAACTAGTTTAACTTTATCAGCTTTGAAACAATCTGTAATGAACCAGAAGCTATTTGGGCCAACTTAGTTGTTTTCACTCTTCTCTTATATAAGATGGCTCTAATGTTGAGTAAACACTGAAAATTATCCTTTCTTGTTTTCAATTATAAAAATCTTTCCAACATAAAACACTTTTTTCAGTTTAGCACCATCCAGTTAATTTTTTAATGAGTATTTAAACATTGTATTGTTTAATTGCACTGAAACTCCTTTAGCTAAGAGAAATCACAGTGATAACACGTCCTGCCAAGCACAATTTATCCCAGACTGGACTTTAACCTACCGCTTTGTGAAGCCTATGCATGCTAGGAGACGAATTTTAACCTGCACATTTTAATATTGGTAGAGATAGCATAGTGTACACATAAAGAAAGGATCATACTGTACAGTTTGATGCCAGCTGGTTTGATGTCTAATCTCTGCTCTTTACTGCAACAGCTATCTTCCCTGCTGTCCTCAGATTTGGGGTTTACAGACATGTGGATTAACAAATATTTTTTCATCAGTCAAGTAGTTGCAGAAGTCATCCACTTTAGCCGCTGCACATGCAGAACGCCACCAGACTGCCAGGAATTTATGACTGGCGTGCGTCATCTAATAGAACAACTGCAATCCAGGAGATGAAATGAAAAAGAAAAACCTTGTTGTTATGTCACACTCTGACGAAACAGAATTAGATTGAAATCACTCTTTTAACATTGGACACCGTGACTAAGGTTTTTTTGGCCCTTGCAGCTGTGTTTGTCGGTTCACAGAAACTGTGTTTGCTTTTCCAGGGCTACAATATTTGATCATGCGGAGCTGGCAGATTACCTAATTTCTTTGGTAAATAAAGCATTCACAAACACGCATGGACACACATGTACACATTCATTTAGGACACATCTTGCTTAAGGTTTAGGGCTCCTGTAATTAATCTCTGTTCCTTTTGTTAGCTGTTCCTGTACTCTTTCCAGTACTAGATGCACTTTGGTGTCTTCCTGGGAGGAGTTCTTCTAGATTATTAATTATTTTTTTATCAAAAATATCTGTAACCACTTTTTATATTTCCATACTATTACTGACCTGGTTCAAGGTGCTGATGATTGTTTGTCGGCCCTCAATCCCTCATTAATTGCATTTATTGGACGTATGTTGCTAGGTGGAAAGACGAGTCAGAGTTTATTTAATGTAAACCAATTTTTTAGAAAAAGTTAAGATGTTTGACCTGAAGCCTTCTAGTACTAAAGCCATGAAATTGTGAGATAGATTGGCAAACATTTACACACTAGGTCAGGTTTTGCTCTTTCCAACATAAAAAATACAAATTATTAATGTAATAGAACAAGATACACAGTGTTTGTAAAAGTTTGTAACATACAATAGTTAAGTGGAGCAAATTGATCATTATTCTTTTTATTTATTTAGTATTTGTTAAAAAACAAAAAAGAAAAGATCTTTGAAAAAAAAAAAAAAAAAAAATGGTCATAATTATTCCCCACAGCTCAATATGTAGACTTGTGGTGATTAAAGCTGTATGTTTTAGATGAAAAGCATGTCTGCCTCCAGATGTAGAGAAATCATCGAACAGTGAAAGCTGTTTTCTAAGTAACATAATACCCTTTTTAATACTATGAAGAAAAGTAATTTTGAAAACTCCCTGGGCATCTATGGTAGAGTAAGCATACCTAGAGCAAATGAGAGATGAGAACAGCCACATTTTCACTATAGTATTGAATTTTGCATGGAAGAACATTAACAACTTAAGTATAAGAGTTCTGCTTAAATTGTTTTCTTCCTAGATTACTTTTCATATAAATGTTCTAAAGTATTTATTAAAAGTAATTACAAGGAAATTAATCGAGAAATAACAAGATTTATATGTATTTTTTCCCTAGGGTTCTGACCAGAACAGCATTGACTGTAAGGGAAACACTCCTTTATTGCTGGCAACTAGCTGTGGAGCATGGAAGACGGTAGCTCTGCTGCTGTCCAAAGGTAGAATAAAATGCTGCATACCCTAACAAGAAGTACACAGATAATGTTCAATGATTTCTGATCACTTTTCATTTGAGTGGTTGTAAGTATATGCTCATATCTTTTAAGGGGCTAATGTGAATGTGAAGGACAAATGCGGCTGTAACTTTCTGCATCTGGCCATCCTGCAGCCTAAGGGTTTGAAAAATCTCACTGAGGAAGTTTTACAGGTATGTGGCAATTGCTTAATAAATACACAGTGTGGAGTTTAATAGAAAATGATGAAATATTGGGAGCTGGTTAATAACTCTATTGTGAATTAATCGTTTATGGCAAGATGACAAGAAGAACTGGATTCTGAAAGGAAAACTGTATGTTAAACCTTATAGAATATACTAAAGCAACAGTGCTTACACAGCTTTCAAAAGAAGAATTTATCACAAAATAAAACCTGGATTTTATGTAAGGGTAAACCCCACAGCTCTTTAGCATTTCTGCCATGTGCATCTACTAATGCATATAAATATATATAGCTTTAATCACAGCTTCTCGATGCATCTGATATTAAAGCAATATTCATGCTCCAACAAAAGAACAAACCAGGGCAGGTCTAAAACATCTCTCCAAGAGCGATGCAGCTCAGAGATGCAAAATATTTATCCGATAAACTACTTCGCAAGTGTCACTGCATTGATCAGATGACATTACATAAAAATGTATTATATTATTTTCCTGAAAATGTAGGTAAGAAACGCTCCTGTTACCTCTGGATTCACTGTTCAGGCACAAGACCAACCTACCTGTTTGCTTCTACAAAATGGCTATCAAATGTGCATGTGCAAGAACGCCAAGCCATGTTTACCTTGTGCACGGCTCTGTTTGCAGTCTGCCCATGTTGCTCAACAACAATAACTTAGCAGGAAAAATACACAATGTCAGATTCGCCCCCAGTAGGTCTTAATCTACCGCAGCTTCGCTGATAAAGGTGGGTCAAGTATCCAAAACTGTTAATCACGTAAGAGTAGCGCTACTTGATTTTACTGAAGTCAAAGTAGAAAGTAGTCATCCAAGAAATTACACAAGAATAAAAAAAAAAAATACTCAATTACTGAGTGATTGTTGGCTCACAACATGTGATTAATGTTTGAAATTATGTAAGCAAAAAGTTTTGTGCAAATTCTGCTATTCTAAAGTATAAAATGAAATAAAAAAAAAAATACAAATAAATAACATGATTACAAAATATTAAATTTAGGCAGAATAGTATTTCCAAATCTTTTTTTTTTCAACATGAACTTATAAAACCAACATTTACACTAAGTAGTGCATTTATTTTAGGAAATTATAAAGAACTTCCTGCTACAGTATAGATAGATAAATAGATAGATAAAAGCATATACACTGTCGATTATATTTCTACCCGATCTCTGAAAAGCTCTCGTTACTCATGGTGGTACAGTAGGGTAATCAGAAATTTTTACTCGCGTAAAGGTAACAATAGTTTCATAAGATTTGAATTTGCATAAAATTATATTTTCATCTAAAAGCTTCTCAAGTAAACATAACTGAGTAAGTGTATGTAGCTATTAACTACCCACCTCTGCTCACTTGACACTTAAAAACTAGAATTACACCCACGACGGCCTGTGACATGTGGCACAAATAATAGATAAAATGATCCTCTAGGACAGGGGTGTCAAACTGGTTCCAGAAAGGGCCGTGTGGTTGCTGGTTTTCTTTCCACCCAAGCAGTTGCACACCAGACTCCATTCATCCCATCAAGTCATCAGGTTAAGACTAGACTCACCTTGATGAGATGAATGGAGTGTGGTGTGCTACTGCTTGGTTGGAAAGAAAACCAGCCACCACACGGCCCTTTCTGGAACCAGTTTGACACCTGTGCTCTAGGATCTTTAAAGAGATTGTTTGGTGAACAATCTATGAAGCCATCCTCAAAGCATGCTAGATGGAGCAAATGACCTGAAGTCTGAAGGTCATGACCTGAAGGTGAAATTATAGCACCTGCAGGTACTCTAATTTTTGATGGAATTATGGCTAAAATCTGTTATTTTTCTGCACTTTACTTTGGGTAGAACTTTAATGCAGTAGCACTAATAAGCAGCGCCGGATGGCCAATACTTGTGCGGGAAAAGCTTTGGTTGCTTCATATGACACAGTCAGCCAGGACTAAAAAAGTCAGATTATGCCTGAAACTCTGAAAGGGCTGTAAATTCTAATTCAATATTAGTTTGAAAGGTCTACTTTTGTCAATTTCAGCATTAAGTTTGTTTTCTTTCCTTCATTTCCTGGACCAAGGTTTGTGTACTACTAATTAAACCTTTATATAATGTGTCTGACTTTAGCATAACAGTGTGAAGGCCTTGCTGAGCTGTGAGGATAACGAAGGGTGCACACCACTGCACTATGCTTGCAGACTTGGTATCCATGATTCTGTGAAGAACATGCTCGGCCTCTCAGGGCAACTTGGCCTTGCATGCAAGTCCAAAGACAAGAAGTCTGCTCTTCACTTTGCTGCACAGTAAGTAAAACACTCATTTTATTAGAAATGGTCAAAAAGTTGCTTAGTTCTTTGGAATTGAAGAGTGTTGACTTAAGATTTTGACAAAATAAACCTTGGGTCAAGCCTTTGTCTAGTTCTTTGATTGATCTCTGTGATGTATCCAGTCCATAACATGCTATTAGTAACATGGCTGCGTTCTTTTTATTTAGAATTACTCTCTTCAGTAAAGGAAAAAGAAGACAAAATAATCAGGAAAAAAAGGGTGGAACAATAGTTTTCCGTAAAAGTTTAAAAAACCATCAACTGGACTTGGTTGCCAAGGTTTGGAGACGTTTCGCTTCCCCCTCAGGAAGCTTTCTCAATTCAAATGTCTGACATTTTACGAAACTTTTACCGAATGACTATGACCTTGATGACTGAGAATCTTCATCAGCAACAATAGTTTTCTTTCCTGTTTTTTAAAGTGTCATCCATGCATGACTTTTTTTCTTTTTAAAAGATCAATAATGTCACAAGATAATAAAATAATAACCGCTAAGATAGCTTCTCTGGATAACTCAAATTATAACACTGGTACTTTTACAAGGTCTCCCTAATTAAAAAGAAAGGTAGACAGATGATAAATAATTGTTCCAGCTCAATCTAAAAATGTCACTACATGATTTAATACAGGGAGAAATGTCCTACCCCATAACCTTTTATCTAGGATTGATTTCTGCAACATACCAGTATCCTTCTAAATCCTGGAGGTCCTGTCAAAAGAATAGAATTCACTTGGCCAGAAATGTAAAGAAAAGCAATAATGTGAAAGAATGAACAGTAGGCACTTATTCATATTGATTTTTCAATCACTCACATATTCAATAACTCACTATTTAATTAAAACTTCAGGCAAGAGAAAACTATTCTCTGATATGAGCTTTAAATCTTGATGAAATCCCACCTTAAAACTCTACTACATTCATTGTGCTTATCCCATGGTAATTTAACATTTTCTAAAACATTTGAAGTAGCAAAAGGATATTCAATAATGACATAGTAGGTCAATTTTAAGATATTTAAGAACTTGTTGGCTCTAATTTTCCCTGTATTGGTTTTCCTACTGACTTATTTGAGGAGCTTCCAAGTGCTACAGGGGGTTGTTAATATCATTAACATATAGTAAGTCTTGTGATTTTTTTTTTTTTTTACCGAAAAATGTAACTAACAACAATTATTCTGCTTCTGTACACTTATCACAGTCTCTTATAATAAGATGCTTTTCCACTATTACAAGTCACTGAGGCTTTTAAAGCTCAAATGGTCTTACTGGTCACTCTGGTTTTACCTTTCAGTAAAAAATAAAAAAAATTGCATTTAAGAGACTGTTTGCATGAATGCTTGATCTTTTTGGAAGGAACTTAGAAATTGTTCAGAGTGTATATCTCGCCTTCCACCCGCTCACCACAGCTTTTAACACCTGTGCTCACTTGAGATGGAGCTTTAAATCAATCTGTAACAATCTGTAACAACCAGTAACAAAGTTATAGGTCAATTTTAAAATTCATGAATAAAATCAAATAATGTTCCTCCTCTGTATTAAAGAATACTGCTTTAACAAATTACCTCTTTAGAGCCTCCTCTGTTTTCCCAGGTCTAACAAAGTACTCGGTCAACTTTGCAGGGGAGCTCTCACCTGGTAGTTTTTGCACCTTGATTAGTAACTCAAAAATATGTGCCAGCTTTCCACATGGTGCACTCAGCCTCCCACTTGTCGCAACCGCCACAGTATGTGCAAAATTTTGGAGTTCATCCGTGAAGCATCACTTTCGTTTTGCCATTTTGAGTCCAAGGCCGATTGCTCTGTTCCCTGTGTGTATGTGGGCTTCTTGCTAGACCCTCCCACAAGCCGTCTCTTGAGAATTACATCTGGCAACAAAGTACCATAGTATTCTATGCAAAGCGGCAGTCGATATAAGCTTAATGATTATGAAAAACAGCCTCCCCCCCATCCCCACCCCCACTGCTGGATTCCCTGTCCATGAAAAAGAGGAAGTTTGGTCACCATTAATTAAAAATTTGATCAAACAACCTCATATACATTATTCTGCCCCATGCTGTATGGGGTTTAGTCATTCAAATTTCTCTGTAAATCTACTTTGAAGCTGGCTGACGCATTAGAGCATATTAGTATTTTGACTGTTCAATACCTCTCTTTATCTATTTATTATACAAGGTATGGGCGTGTAAACACCTGCCACAGGTTACTGGAGTCCATCACAGACTCTCGTCTGCTAAATGAAGGTGATGAGCGGGGCCTCACACCGCTGCATTTGGCTTCAAAAAATGGACACACCAAGGTGGTACAACTATTGTTGCGCAAAGGAGCTCTCTTTCACAGGTAAAACCAAACCAATGATATAAGCATTTATAGACGGCATATAAAGCCTTAGCAACAGCATACCATGCAAAAGAGTTTAGTAGAGTAATGTTAATACTGACATGTTAAACAAGCTGATTTATGGTATATAAACCTGTGAACATATTTTACAGTGATTACAAAGGCTGGTCTTGTCTTCACCATGCTGCTTCTGAAGGATACACACAAACTATGGATATATTGCTCTCTGCAAATCCCAAGTTACTTGATAAAACCGATGAGGATGGGGTAAATATGATGATTTCTATTCTAAAAAAAAATTTCCTTTCTCTTAAGGGTGTCCATTTTAGAAGGAGTTTTTTAGAAGTTAATCATCAACAAATGACAGTCATGGTCTGATAATAATAGCAGTGTTAAAAGGCTCGGTAACATATCTTGGTAACTAAGGAGTCTTTTGCTATCCCATGCAAGAACACTGCACTCCATATCGCTGCAAGATCGGGACATGTGGCTGCGGTCAGAATGATGCTGGTAAGAGGGGCCGAGATCATGTTGAATAAGAATGACACTTCGTTCCTCCACGAGGCTCTGCAGAACGGTAGAAAGGATGTGGTCAAGGCTGTGATTGACAGTGAGAGGTAAACTTTAAGGTTTGATCTAAAATTATTAGTTAGTGTTTGGTCTTAATTTGTACTCGTATTCTTAGCATATGGAAATATTGAAGCTCCATTAAGCATTTTGCTGTTTCAGATGTGATGAGGCTCTTGGAATGTTTGAACCCGGATCCACTCAGCGTTGCCCCATTCTTGACATGATTGAGTTTCTGCCTGAGAGCTGCAAGGTGAAATCACTCACAAAATAATAAACAAATATAAAAATAACAACCAGATTCTAACTCACATCACAATGAACCATTTCTAACTATTTTACATAATCTGCTTTGGTTGATTTCTGGATTTAGATGTAAAGTGTTTTCTTTTTGATTTCCACAGCATCTGCTTGACCGCTGCGTGAGGGAGTCTGATGATGATCACAACAGCCCAGACTACCATGTAATCTATCTACAAGCACTGTCTAACCATAAACCTAATCATCATTGTGAACAAAATAAAAAAATATTCTCTATGTGGTGTAGATTGAATATAATTTCAGATGGCTCCAGGCTCCTATTGCAACAAAATTGCTCAAGAATGGCTACGCTCCTAAGCCACTAGCTGCAGTCAATGTAAGTTTTCCTCTCCTGGTCTGTTTTAGACCAGGAAACTGCTGCTTCCCTTCACCTAGTTAAGCAGATTTGATGTGTTTGTTGAGGTTTTCATTTTTCCATGTAAATTTGTGAAAACAAATTTGCTTGTAAAAATGAAAAAAAGGGGTGTTCTGAATTTTTTTTTTGTATTAATCCTTTTATTTAATTTTAATTTTTTTTTAATCATTTCTGCAGGCAATGGTGGAGTATAACCGAATTGAGCTCCTCAACCATCCAGTCTGCAAAAAGTATTTGGCAATGAAATGGTGTGTATCCACAGAGTAAATACCAGATAAAATATAGTTTGATTTCACTTTTCAAATTTAAGTAAGACTTTGATTATATTCAATCTAAAATAAATTATTTTATCTATACAGGTTTGCCTATGGGAGCAAAGCTCACTTGCTTAACATGTTTCTGTACCTGTTTGGGCTATTGCCATTAACAAATCTGATAGTGACTCTTCGACCCTCTGTGAATGCCACTGCTACAGGCGAGCTCGACATCGTTGTGGTTCCCACCTCATTTACAGAGGTAACTTAAAAGTACCTGAAAATCTACTGTATAATCTTAAGAACATGTTCAACTATAATTCTGTCTTTGTTTTATCATCTTTTTCCAGCAAAGTGTGTTCTTGTCCTTCTGCATGGTGATGGTTTTGATCACAAACATCTATTCAATAGGAAAAGAGATCGTGCAAATTACACAGCAGGTGCAGAACTATGCTTTTATACATATGTTATTAGTATGGAGCTAATTTGGGACCGAAGAGTTAATGAAAAAAATTGCACCTGAAAGTATATTTAAACCATAAAATTATTTTGAAATTAAACAAAAAGAATATGAAACTGAAAATAATCCTTTCAAATTCAAGTTTCTTTTTCATTTTCTGAAATTATTCCCCCTTCATTTAAAACTGCTTATGTGGGTGGAAAAATAACCAAATGCATTCATTGTAAATATAACATAAATATTCTGGGTTTTTACTATGCTTGTCACATGGCTGGGTGTTCCCAGGCAGTCCCAGAGTTGGTCCTGGAGGGCCGCTGGCCTGCAGGTTTTAGATGTTTCCCTGTTCCAGAACAGTCCATTTTCATTGAGAGCTGATTAATAAGCTTTTGCTGGACTGCAATCATCAGAATCAGCTGTGCTGAAGCAGAGAAACCTCTAAATCCTGCAGGAGAGCGGCCCTTGAGTTACCAGATTTGGGTTTCTGAAAAAGAGGACACCCCCCCCCCCCAAAAAAGAGCTGCAGTAGCAGTTATTTTGATCGCTGTTACACTCTGATTTTGATAAATTGCTTTAACTATTAAATGTAAGTTTTACAGTTTACATACACCTTTGTATGTGGTTAACAAGAAAAATAATTATTTGTTTTCCTCTCTTGCCCCCCGAAGCGCTGGAGTTACTTCAGAGACAGTTCTAACCATATTGACTGGTTGTCGGCCATCTTCTCTCTTTTGTTCGTCATTCCCCTATTGCTAAATACAGAAGTGTCTTTGCACTGGCAAGCAGGGGCAATGGCAGTTTTATTTTCCTGGATTGGGTTTCTTCTTTATCTGCAGAGGCAGGTTTAATTTCACTCTAACACTTTGTATTTATCTTATCATCACATCTTTTCAATGTTATTGAAGCTGTAAAAATCTCACCCTTTAGGTTTGAGGGTATCGGCATCTATGTTGTAATGTTTGGAGAGATCATGAGGACATTGATCCGTATTGTCATGCTGTTTGTGTACCTGATGTTGGCATTTGGTTTGGCCTTCTATGCTTTGATGCTCAACCAGGTAAGAGAAATCGCCAAGAACATGGAAGCAATTACTACAATTATAGAAAATCCAGCACTGTTTTGTTTTTTTAGGGGTCGGGCCTGTTTCAGACAAACAGATTTTAATATCAAATTTGACTGACATCCCTCAGTCTGGAAAGGGATCAAATTCATTTCTTGGTGTCTTCAGTCCAACTGTCCACAGTAATTTCTGCCTGCACTGTGGGGAATTGACCACTGTACAATTCAGATACACCTCTGCTTTACGGTGCTTGCTGTGGATCATCCGCTTGCCAGTTTCAATTCAACATTGCAGACAGTGATTTCATAGAGGACCTGATAAAGCTTGTTTTGCTCTGGAAAGCCAAAACTGTCTACTTCAATGTCTATGGGTCAATCTGATTATCCAGAGCCTAAACCAGTTTGGAGAATACCCCCTCTAACTCTAAGAGCTGTGTCTGGATTACACAGGACAATGAATTATAAATGATTGAAATTTCTTTAAAACTGATTTTTTAAAAGCCCCCTAAAAATCTCTTAGGAGCATTCCTTATTTCATCTTTATTTTCTCTATATTCCATTTTGATTTAAAGAAACATTTGTCTCAGCTGCACTCCGACAAACGTCAAAACCACAATCAGTCGCCAATTGGTTGAGCGTTGTATTTTCGTAGAAAAGTCCAGATTTTCCAACTCTAGCAGTCTCACCACATGCAATTTACCCCGGACCTCTTCAGCTCTCTTTACAGCACCATTTTCTTAGGGATCCTATGTAAGTCAGTGTGAACACAGCAGCCTTTTGGGCTTCAGCTGATTACAGTGAGAGTCATTAATGGATATGAAATGGAGCAGTGGTGAGCTAGGCCAAGAGTGGCCACTCAACAAGAATTTTTGAATTGCATTGATGGCTCATCCAAGGGCTCATTAGGCTAGCCAGCCAGACTGACTGACACGGGGCATATGGTCAGTCTGGTGAGGCTCAATACTCTCTGGACAAAAACAGACTGGACCGATCACAGTGCGGGAGGCGGGCCCATAATTCAACAGCGCTTTCTGCAACCATAACAAGATTGCTGCTGCAACAGGGGAATGTTTCAATGATGATTTGAATCATGTCCTAAAAGAGAGGTTTAGATTGTTAAGATTTCAACAATGGGCTGTTTTTGAGTCACTATTGGTCCACAGTCCAACTCACATCCAGTGTACACGATATAAACTAGTCTGGATATGTAGGCTAATGGGTCATACCAACAATAGCATCTAATGTAATGTAGAAAAAAATTAAAAGAGAGAATTTGAGAATTTGAAGGCAAAAACCAGTGCTGAACAAAAACAATATAAAGGCTCTTTTACACCTAAAAAGCTACATTACATGAATACAGTTTTTTTTTTTTTGAAAGCCTTTTTTTTACTGATTTATATTTATCAATTTTTTTGTCAACAGAAAGAGTTTAACAGCGTACCACTCTCTGTGATTCAAACCTTCGTGATGATGGTCGGGGAGCTGAACTATCAGAACAACTTCTTGGAGGCTTTTTTGAACAATGAGCTTCCATTTGGTGTCCTGACATATGTGATTTTTGTGTTCTTTGTTCTGCTTATGCCCATCCTTTTAGTGAACCTGATGGTAAGTGTTTTATTATTCTTTGGCTGTTTGGAGATGTTGCACTACACACAGACCACCCAACCAGATAATAGTGAGATTGGTAAAAAATGTTCTACCTTAGGAAAATCAACTTTTTCACAATGAGCATGTATGCAGCAATGGTGGAGAGGAAAACTCCCTTTTTAGCAAGAACAAAATCTCCAGGAGAACCAGACCCATTATGAGCGTTCCATCTGCCAAGACTGACTGGGGCTTAAAGGGGAGCGAAGCAGATAAATAGAAACTGACCTGAATAAAATAAGTTATTTCTTTTAGAAATGAAACCTTATCCTTTTTTTAGAGAAAGGCAAGAAATTGAAATGGTGGTCCAATGTAACTAGTGGATTTTTGTCACTTTGTAATGACTCAGCAGAATAGTGTTCTGTGTCCAACCCCTGTTTTTTTTTTTTTTTTTGACAATCAAAACCAGTGACAGCAAGGTTTGTGTTAGCAAAGCAATTTTTATACCACTTATAAAGACCAGGTCAAAACTGACCCCAACACAAAAAAAAGTATTTTTTTTTCCAGAGTATTTCGAAATTTAATAAAGGTGAATGTTTTGGATTTATTTAACTAAAACAGAGGTAAAAAAAAAAACCTTGACGTGTTAAACAAAATTTATGAGGTACTTTTATGTATTCAAAAATTTAAACGGGTCAGTCATGACCCCATCACAACAGGAAGCTTAATTTAATTCACTTTCAATTCAGTTTATTTATATAGCGCCAGTTCACAACGCATGTAATCTCAAAACACTTTACAGTTCTCCAGATCATACAGTCAGATTGACTCAAAATTTTCTATCTAAGGAAAAGCAGTTGATTCCATCGACTCATTGTGTCATTGTGCCTTGCTTTTTGCAGTGTGTCTGCTCCTTATGTCATCACTGTGCGTTGTTTTATGATACATTAATAGTTCTTTCCTGCAGATTGGTTTAGCAGTTGGAGACATTGCTGAAGTTCAACGAAATGCTTCTCTGAAGCGAATCGCAATGCAGGTAGGTTTGGAGCTGGTCCTCCTGCTAAGATTTCATGTTCTTCATCTTGCCATAACAACATATTAAAGTTATCAGAAATTGAAATCTAATATAGTGTGGATGAGATTGAGTTTGGTGTTTAAAACTCTTGATAGTAATTTTCTGATTGTGTCCAAGTAACAATATTAGAAGCAGGAGATGATTAAGCACATGCTATCACTGCAAACTGAGAAGTAAAATATTAATATCCTGTTTAACTATGCCCAGAATAAACTCAGCAATAGAGCAGTGCTATAAAATAATAAGTAGGGTAGATATGTCTCAGAATGATTAACTAGGTTTGTTTAGTTTTCTAATGTAGTACCCATTTTTCCCCTCTGATCTAAGATTGATCTCCACACATCCCTGGAAGACAAGCTCCCTTACTGGTTTATGAAGCGAGTGGACAAACCCTCAGTTATCGTCTACCCCAATCGCAAATGCTCCAGGGTAGGATTCATGCCTGCAGTAAAGATGGTCAATAAATGTTGTCTGTTTCTCTTATAAAGACTCCCAATTTCTCACAGCACTTCATAAAACAAATAATCTCCGGTGAGGAGGATAGAAGTGAAGTCTGGACTCGTCTGCAGTCCAAATCACAGAGCTGCACCTTTGTAGAGAATGAGCTAAAAAAGCAGAAAGCGAGGTAAGGCACCTAAAAAGAGCAGACACATAATTAAAAGTAATGCATTCCCAAACATATACATTTAGATCAGCCTAAGAATGTCACTGAAAGTTTGAAATGGTCATCAAAATCCAGTTTACATTGATATAGAGCAAGAAAGTGGGAAAGCACAGCAGAGATAATTTTTTATGTCTGAGCTACCCCTATGGGTAGGTTTGTGTAATAACGGTGCGTTGCAAAACTATTCATATGCTTTGAACTTCTCAGCGTTTTCACACAAACCTAAATGTTTTTCAATGAATGTTCTGGGTTAACCCAACACAAAGTAATGCATGGCTGCAAAGTTTAGGAGAAAATAAATGAGAAAAAATCTAAAAAGTAGAAAAAAATGTTGTTTTTTTTTACAGTTCAGGTCTTTTTGATCAGAACAATTGGTTTCTTTGTTTAAAGAGAAAAGCTGAACAAAAGGGGGGAGGGGGGTTGTGGTTTCAGCTTCTACGCATGTACGTATAAGGATGTCTTTAAAAACATTCCAAAGAAATTACACAAGCAGTCTTATCCTGATTCAAATGCCTGAACATGAAAGTAATTCAAAACAACAGACTCGAATGACCGAGGAGATGGTGGGTCATGAATTTGCGTCTGACTCCAGGTCCTTTAGAGCATCTTCAACCAGAAGTTGCTCTACTGGAAACCTCCAGAACTGACAAACACTCCTGGATATGTGTTTAAACATTGTCAAAAAGAAACTGAGGGAAAGTCCATTTCCCTTCAATGTGGTCTCAACCAATCTTGCTCATCTCAAAATTAAATTTGTCACTTTTCTGTATGTAAAATTCTTCCATTTCAGTTAGAGTGGTTGGAAATTTTTGTTTAAACACATTTCCGAGTATTGCCACCGAAATTCAGAATAAGGTCCTTGTGTCATTCAAAGTCAACAATATCTCTGATTTAAAGCAGAGATCTTCAGTGAGGGGGAGGTGGGTGTTGCAACTCCCTAGTGGGCTGCTGAGGGCTGTAAAGTTTTTTTTGTGATCTTCTCTCCTACAGCCGCATAGACATGTTAGGCCAGACTGAACTAATATTTTTTTTATCACAAGTAGATTAGACAGTAATATCTGTAACATTGCTTAAACCAGGAAAGAATAAAAAAGAACTTTATACCTGTGGACAGGTACCAGAAAATTGTCATTAACTGATGAATATGGAGTTATTAAAGGAATAGTACACCCAAAACATGATTAGCCTTCATTTTCTACTCACCCCCATGCTGAACAACACTCTGGAGTACTTTTTTGATATCTCAAATGCATCTGGAGATCTGGGAGGCTTCTTGCTGTATGCTGACATTCAAATAATGGAGGTCTATGGTGACCGAGACAGAAAGGTCCATAAAAGTCCACAAAAAACGTGTCAATATTCCTCCATACTGCTCGTCCAATGTATTCCAAGTGTCCTGAGTGGTTAGCATCCAGAATTTACTCGAAACGAAGTCATTTAGAATGTTTTTAGAGCATAAACAGTAGTGTATAGGATTTCCTGAAAGCGCGCACACGCTCGCTCACGACGCTACGGAAGCCGGCAGACCAAACCAGCGCATTCAGCTCGGCAAAGAACTCATGCTCTTCCTCAACACTGAAGTCCTCAGATATTTTTCTTTCGTTGTTTCTTTCTTTGCACAGGTAAACAGCACATTTCTTCTTCTACGCTTGCATTATTGGAAGAGCAGACGCTGAATGCGCACTTTCATCTGGTTTGATCTGCCGGCTTCCGTAGCGTCGTGAGCGCGCGTGTGCGCGCTTTCAGGAAATCCTATACACTACTGTTTATGCTCTAAAAACATTCTAAATGACTTCGTTTCGAGTAAATTCTGGATGCTACCCACTCAGGACACTTGGAATACATTGGACGAGCAGTATGGAGGAATATTGACACGTTTTTTGTGGACTTTTATGGACCTTTCTGTCTCGGTCACCATAGACCTCCATTATTTGAATGTCAGCAGGCAGCAAGAAGCCTCCCAGATCTCCAGATGCATTTGAGATATCAAAAAAGTACTCCAGAGTGTTGTTCAGCATGGGGGTGAGTAGAAAATGAAGGCTAATCATGTTTTGGGTGTACTATTCCTTTAATATTTTGTTGAATATGTATTTTTAATGTGGCAGTAAGTCTGATGTTAATTCCTTTGTGAGAACCCCTCAACCAGCAGTTAAAAACTTCTAAACAATTTAATTCAGTTCAGTTTATTTATATAGCGCCAATTCACAGCACATGTCATCTCAAGGCACTTTACAGAGACAATTCGACCAGATCATGCAGTCAAATTGGTTCAAAGTTTTGTACCTAAGGAAAACCAGTTGATGGCATCGGCTTATTGACTCAAAGGCACTCCCACACACCTAGCATGCATGTAGTGACAGTGAAGAGGAAAAACTCCTTTTTAACATTAAGAAACCTCCAGCAGAACCAGGCTCAGTGTGAGCGGCCATCTGCCGAGGCCGACAGGGGTTTAAGGAGACAGAAGCGGCCATAGAAAAAGAAGCAGAGATACAAAAGGCAGCTGTCCACCAGCCACCAGCTCCACTGGTGGCCCCACCCAGGAAACACACAGCCAGGCAGACAAGCTCCGAGCCAGCTCCCATGTCAGAGGATGAAGAAAACAAACACCCCCTTACTCAGAAAGGGGGAGTTATTGCTCCCTTTTCATCAATAGCGGGCCTGGGACTGAATAAAGGTGGAGAGCCTTGATTTAATCCTTTCTTTTGTGACTCTGACCATATTTTAGATTTGATACTCTACTGGAAGGCTAACCTTTTTCTATCTTTAAAGTTAGCTGCAGGATTATTCCAGAATTGCCATCCACCCTCCTAGCGACTCTGTGGTTCCTCCTAAGAAAATTGAAGCAAATAAATATAATAAAGATTTCCCTCAAATGAGGGAATATTTTTCCAAGCCAGTATAAAGCATGAGCTATCCCGCTTACATCACTGAGATTTAGACTGAACTCAGAAAAAGTTTATTTCAAAGGGTAATTGGGAACACAACATTCATCTAGATTACTCATGTGCAGAGCCTTTTGTCAAAAAAAAAACAAACAAACTTCGACCTTACAATTAAATCCAAATTTGTGTTAGTCTAGCATTTTTATACAATAAAATCCATTGCAATTTTTGCTTCAAATCAAATGAATAATTATGCAAGGAAAAAAATGTTCTTAATCTAAAGCTTAGTCAAGGTTAGTATTGACAAATATTTTGTTTCACAACTGTTTTTGTTGGTTTCACTTTTTTGGTTGCAGGATGAAAGAAATGTCAGGCATGCTAGAGAAGCAGCACTGCCTCCTGAAACTTATCATCCAGAAGATGGAAATCTCCTCAGAAGCCGAGGAGATTGACGGTCCTGTGACCCTCAGAGGCAACATGTGGCCCACTTTGAAGCAAACCAAAGCAAGAGTCCGCACCACATCTCGCTGGTTGCCACTGATTAAAGCCATTGAGGCCAAGCGCAAATAGGCAGAAGAGATCTAAAATGCATGGACATTTATTACTATTTTCACCACTAATTTTCACTATATTCTAGCTGAAATCATAAGATATAAAAATGTATATGTGACTGTTACTTATACCAAGATTCATTGCTTAATTAATTTATTTCTCCTGTAGACACGTGATTGTAAGGGGTCAACTGAGTTAGCTTGTAATTTCTTTCTTCCCTTATTTAGAGTTCCTAAATGCAACAAACATAGACAATTATATACATAATAAAGATATGACTTTTAAATTCACATCCACATACATTCAATACTATTCAATAATACATTTAAATGATAGAGCTACTCATACTACGATTCTACTTAAACCCTGCTTATTATATGAATAAATAAAAATCTGTCAGATTTTGTCATGCTGGAAGTTACTGTCTGTATACTGTATCTATAGTACATAGTTTTTTGGCTCTCCGGTGTCTAGCCAAAAATATGACATGTTCTAAATATATGCAATCAAAGAGATGAATTTGCAATCCTGTTTTTGTGTATAGTAATAATAATAACAGTGGGTTATAATAATAAGTGCAAAGAATCCAGAATGTTAATTAATGTTTTTGTGTCTTATGTTTAAAGTGTTACTTACAGTATGTTGCAGCCATAATTACTTTCTACATAATGCTGTCAGGTGCCTCCATGTACCTTGCTGGCTTACGAAGAATATAACTTTGTCTCTTGTAAATAAAGCATGACTTCACCCAGCAAAGCATTAGTGCATCTACACGATCTATTACAAAAACTTTCCTGTAACATATACGATAACAACAGTCATGTAGCAAAAGCACATGCTTATGTACAGTGTGAAAGATAAATGCGTAGATCAGACATCTGTCTTTGTTTTTCATCCTTAGCTCAGTGCTGCAATCTGCTTCAGTGGAGATCATGGGAAACACTGATGCAGATTTCAGCCTCTGACATCATGAGCTTACACCTGTCCCTATGCTTCTCCAACTAGACCTCTGACAGAGGTCAAGCCCCTTAAAAGTCTCTGCTGATGGACGAATGCCTATTGTCCTTCAAGTCCACTTTAAAGTGTTATTTATTACCACTAGGGTTGAATTTAATTATTCCCAGGACAAAAAGAACAACCATAAAGTCATCAATTACATCAATGTTTGGGGCAATATTTCTCTGTTTTACTCTAGGAAGTATGTCCATAGAATAACCAATGAATGCAATGGTTTATCTCTGCCTGTTCTCCCAGGAGTGAATTATGTCATATCTCATAAAGCTGATGCCATTTTGTGTCCGTCAAAAAATAAAAAATAAACAGCTCATCAGGTGAGTGGTAAATCCAACAGCAGAATCCCTTAGCTTGCACCTTCATACAGTAGGTGTCAGTCAGGCCGTCCGCCTCTCTGACGGATGTGGTGACTGAGGATTGGGTTGGCAGACTGCCCAAACCTCTGGCTGTCTTTCCGGCATAACTCAATATCTCCACCTCATGACTCACTCAAGGATATGTTAAGATCAGGGATCACTCCAAGGTTCGACTGATCTCTGGTCTGCTGTAAAGCTTTATGGAAAATCGCAAATGGAGCGAAGTGCCCTTGGATTGGGGTACAGTGCTTGGCTAAGGAAAAAGTAAGTCTGTCTGAGTAGAAAGTCATCTAGCATTTTAAATGACTGACTTGAAAGAACAACAGACCCCAAACTATCAAGTGTTAAAGTTGTTTTGAGACAAATTAATTGAATTTCAGTCAAATTGGATGGAGAGCATTTGTTTATTAAACTTTCAGTTGACAGATTCATCTAGATTTAGGTCCAGACTTTCACTGTGTCATTCTTAAACATTGATATGCTGAAATAAAATTTTCTTTTCGGTTGTGATCTTACCTGAAAAACTGAAACCAAAACTAACTGGATACATAACAACTACAAGTTCAAATGCGCAGCAAAACCATGAACATTGATGTTAGGTAAGCACATCACAGAGAGTTGCAAGTAGAACAACCAATACATAAGATGATTTCACTGAACTCCAACCTGAAAGAAGATAGTCCACTTTACCTTTCATTTGGACAGCATGGATGTGTAAAACAGTGTGTATCCATACATTTTCAAAGGCTTTATGAAATTAGACATAGATAAACTTTATTGTCTTTTTGTATGCACATAGTATATTCAATGTATACAGCTTACAACAGTGAAATGAACATTACCATTTCATAATGTGCAGCAGTGATCAAGAACTTAAACAGTGTAGGAGAAAAGGAAACCAGTTTAAAAGAGTGGTGCAAAAGGTATTGATATGGATACGTTCAGCGCAGTGCAAATGGATATGGTGCAAAATGCAGTAGAACACTAAATTGTGTTCTATTTAAAGGGATTATTTAAAAAATCAGCCATGTTGATAGTGCAAATATGATGTTTTCAAGTGTGATGCAGAGTCTAGTTTACAGTTTCAAAAGTTCAACAGTCTGATGGCAGCGAGGAAAAAGCTGTTGCAGAACCTGTTGGTGTTGCAGCGAAGGCTGTGAAGCCTCTTCTCACACGGCAGCAGGGACAACAGTCCATGGTGGGGGTGTGAGGGGGTCACTGATGATGTTGCGCAGCGCTGGGATGGAATGTCTTTTATGGAGGGGAGAGGAGCCCCGTTGAAACTCTCTGCTGTCCTCACCACTTTTCTCACATTCAATCTGTCTTCATTGTTTTATTTAGAAATGTATGTTTTCCTTGTCCATTTTTCTGTTGCTACAGTTAAGATTGACCCTGACCTGGATCTGGAATCTGATCTTTTCTGGCTGCTCATCTGTATGCATTGGTCTCTGCCTGGCCACCCCTGTGAAAATGTCTGGCTCCATCACTGTTGCTAAACATACCTTGAAAAAAATGAACTGTTCTGTATCAAGAAACAAAAGGATTCGTCTACATAAATTGATGTTCAGTTTAAATTGATATAATTTTACAAACAGAAAAAAGAGCCAAAAGAATTTCAATGCAGGTCGAATTGATGAAAATCTCAAGCCAAAAGTGTGCCTTATTCAATTTTTAAAGAATTGGCAACAAAAGTCACAATCTCAAACATTTTGCAATTACTAAAATGTTTTGTTTTTTATTTACATTTTTGATCCTTTATATTCACTTCTCTTTCCTTCTGTTTTCCCATCTGTTGAATTAAGTACATCTCAACAACAGCAACCTTTTCTCCCCTCTTGTATTTTTAGTAAATAACAAGCTGGTTTTGCTGGTGGTCCAAGAATTTTATCTTCGTTTCTTTACATCTAATGTAGCATTTTACATACTTGTAACCTGTGTTTACTGATTTTGGCATTTCTTAGAACTTTTCTCAAAAAATGTTTGTTTTTCTTATCATTTTTCAATAAAGGACAGATTTGCATACTGGAAATTTGAGTAAAATATGCTCCAGCTGAAGTGATTTTACTGAGAAACATATTTAGTAAAGCAAAAACAGCTTTTTTCTGAGGAAGTACTTAAAGTCCAGAATATTCCCTACTGTACATTAGGGGTGGGTATTGGCAAAGAAGTCATGATTTGATTCGAATCACGATTCACATGCCACGATGCGATTCTATCACGATGCATCACGATACTTGAAATATTGCGATGCATCGCGATCCGTTGCGATATTTTCAATGAACACTGTAAGAAAAAGACACAGCCATTACCAGTGGCTGACTGGCTGGGTATGATCTGGATAGTGTCTTCAATTGATACATAACTGAAAGCAACTGAATTCATACATAGCTGTATTTATTGAAACGACTTTTGGAGGTGTTGCCATGAAAACAAATACTGGACAGAAATATTACTATTACTGGCGTGGACACTGACAAAAAGATCTTAGGATTCATCAAACTTGAAATAACAAAATAAGGATAATCAGTGCTGTTTACATGGCATCAGTGGTCCTTTAAACCAATGAAACGAAAACATTCAAATTTATATTCCCCCTTTTGCAAATGACGTGCATGATATCAATTTCGTTTTTACCTTCTTTGTTTTTAAAGCCGAAATGCATCCAAGCATCTGACTTAAAATGTGACACAGCCATCGGGCGAATTTAGTTTCCTCCATGTTTTATTTCATATGACTCGTCACAGTATCCCATGGCCAGACATGCTAGTGACACAAGGCAGCGGGCGTCAACACATCCGCAGCGACATCTGCTGTACTGGAAGTTGTATTCCACTTGATTTGGCTGATGTGCGCCAACCATTAATGCATTTTATTTGTTCTTTTTTTTTTTTTATAATCGATTCTTGCCTTCAAGAATCGATGCAGTAGATCACAAAAATTAGAATCGCGATGCATCGTCATGACGATTATTTTGCACACCCTTACTGTACATCCTGTTCATTACTGTTATCAAAAGGCCTGTCACTAGAGGTGTGGACCTGTCAAGGAGCTTCTCTAAGTAGTGCTTTTTGCTCGTCAGTGAAGATAGACGGAATTGTCATTTTTGGTATATTTCTTTATGCTTACGACATAATGGATTCAACAATTCTCTCAGAAATTTTCAAAGGAACAGAGGTATTATTTTCTTAGTTGTCTCTATCACTACAGTGAGAAAAGCTGAAAATGAACATATTCTGTGCATAGAAAATTTTTTGCTCAGAGTAAAGTTATTTTTATCATTTAAAGCAAAACCTTTTTAAAGTTTAATACTTAAGTACAATGCAGAAGCTGCTGGTTTTTATTTTTTTTACTTAAGTAAAGAAGTATAATCAATACTTTTAATGTGAGTACTTTTGCCACTCTTTTCTCTCCACACTATCTCCTTTCACAGATTGTTCTACAGGATATTTTTGAGGGTGTAAAACAAATATATAATTACCCAAAAAAAAAGAAATGGTTTTACATGTGAATGAAGATTGGGCCTCTTTGCATCTGCCACACCCTGGTCATGCCAGCACTCCAGATGTCATGGGAACCACTAACAGCTGGGGCTGGTGCACAAGGGCTGCGTGTGAAAGGCCGCTCCATCTGGGGAAACCCAATCTCTCTGTGAAACCAGCAAAGGATTAGATGCTTTTGATAAGCTCCCTAAGACATTTCTATTAAGGCACATCTGTAGGAACAACAAATTGCATGGACATTTACTGCATATGGGCACTACAAAGATTTCCCTTTTTTTACAGTATGTTCGTAGTTACAGCGGGAACGTTGAAACCTCTTGTACCTTACACTGAAGATCTTATGTAGCTTTGTTACATCAATCTTCAAATAGTAACTAGGATTACAAATAGCCAGCCATTAATTCACAGTGCTTAACCAAATTATCCAACTGCAGATGCCCAACTTAAGAGTGTCCACAAAGAGACAGAGCTGTGGTCTCATTGGGGTCATGGAGAAAAGGGGAGGAGAAATGCAAAGAGGCCAAGTGTGGGACACTTAAATTAGAGGGGTCCAGACTTCATTTTTGGACTTTAACTCGTTGCATTGTGTGCTTGCAGAATCCTTTTTGGCCTTTTTGGGGCCTCCAGCTACAGGGTTAGGATTTTTTTGAACTTATAAGGAAGTTGGCTATTAAAGAAAAATCCAACATCTTTTCTTAACTTTGACAAGAAGAAGTTCTGCTGCCCCTTTGAGGTCAAATCTGAAGAGCCATGTCAACAAGCTCGACACCAAGTGATCTTGAGGATGACGAGATATTTAATGGAAGGAGCTCCACAAAAGTGAGGAAAAATACCTGCTTCAGTTCCAGACGGTATTCAGAGAGGGAAGAGGATGAAGAGGAGAAGGGCATCGAGCAGGAGCGCAGCAGGCTCTCCAAAACTCACCCAAAGGAGGCACGGCAGTCCCAGAGAAATGCTGCAAACGCAAGGGAGAGGGCAAGGATGAGAGTCCTAAGCAAAGCCTTCTCCAGACTGAAAACCAGCCTGCCCTGGGTTCCTGCCGACACTAAACTGTCAAAACTGGACACACTGCGTCTCGCCTCCAGCTATATCTGTCACCTCAGACAGATTCTGCAGGAAGACCGGTTGGAGAACAGCTGTGCACATCCAGTCAGTCTGGTACGAAACCTCTCCAACAGCCATGTTTGGTAAAAATGCTTTAATTAGAAATAAAACTGCATTTCCTCACATATTTCATAAAATCTAATTCATTTTAATCTTAAAGCTTAAAAGTTTTCTGCTAAGTTTCACTCACAAATGAGGTTTAAGTGCATGTCTTCATCAACTATTCTCTTATGTATCATTTTTTCAGACATGGCCCTTTATGTCGTCAGGGAGATCAGAGGAGGACATCTCATCTGCTGTAAGACTTTGTGGGGCTACAGCATAGTCCATCCCTCTTCATTATGCTGCTATCAACCAGAACCTTCAGAACTGACTCCAAAGTAATACTCTGGGCTTTGCCGTCATAATGAACTGTCTTTATGTTATGTTGTTAAATAACTCATGACAGAACAGTGATGTTTTATTGTTTACCTGTGTAATATTCAGAACTTTCATAAGTTCTTCAGTGATTTTTCATTTCCAATATTTGGATATCTTTATTATCACTTTTAGCTGTGCACTGATTTAGAGTATAATTTAATAGCATGGGTTTGATTGAACAACAACTAGACTGGTTAATGTTAAACTGAGAAAGCCTATAGAGTGCTGGTCAAGCCGTATTGACTAATCATAATACTTTAGGATTACATCAAAAGGGCTTTCCCAAAAGGGGAGGTACACACCTGGGGGGGTTGGGGGAGTTGCAGTGTAACTTAGGGGGAGAGTGGTAGATATTAACAGGAAAAAAAAAAAAACATTTTCAAAGGTAATCTTTAAAAGAAGTATTGTTTAGAATATCGAAATTCTGCTAAACTGAAACTTAAGCAGGTACTGTAAAATTAAAGGTGGTAGTCTTGTGATTTTTAATAGATTGCTGATGGTGGTTTTGGTCAGGGTGGTGAGCATGTCAAACTACAAGCCTACCTAGTTCATTTGGATTTCATTCATCCATTTTCTCCCACCTAGTCCTTGTCAGGGTTGCTGTGGGTCTGGTGCCTAACTTTGGCAGTCTATGGGCAAGAGGCAGGGCACACCCTGGACAGGACACCCTGCAACAGACTGGTGACAATGGACAATGTAGAGAAGCTAATTAACCTAAAAGTCAGGTTTTTGCATTGTGGAAGGAAGCGGGAGTAGCAGGAGAGCACCCATGCATGCATGAAGAGAAAATGCAAACTCCAAGCAGAAAGACCCTGTGCCAGGAATTGGACCCTCAATCTTCTTGCTGCAAGGCAACAGTGCTACCCAATGCAGCACCATCAGAGTTAAAACACTTCTTATCCTAAGTGAATCAAAATGCTAAGGTTATCTGGTAAGAGCCAAGGATATGTTTGTATGTTTGTCTCTGCTATCATTTGTAACGTTTTCAATCTAAAAAAAAAATTCCAAGTTGGGTCATTTTTATCTAATTGAGTGGATTTATAGACCAATAATATGTACAGTGGCTGAAGGGGGACCAACACCATGTAAATACACAATTTCACACCAGATTAGAACGTCCTTCAGACTCAAAAATAAAACCAGCAAACTCAAAGATTAAACAAATAAACACAAAAATTAGACTAGTTAGCAAGACAAACCCAAAACACACCTGCAAAGAATATATATTGCAATAAAGAAATGCGTCAACATACTACAAACACAAATCCCCTGCATTACTTAAATGATGCTAACACACAGACATATGAGATGCATGAAAATGAAAAAATTTTGCAAATAGCAAAAAGAACAGCAAGTTAAGAAAAGCTTGAAACTAGCGATGCATAATGGAAGTGCTTCAGGGGAGACTAGTCATCACCTGATTTGGGATTAGACCTTTTGAAAAGACATACTGTATGTGGGATGCTATGGGAGGGTAAATGTTGAAAAATACTAAAAAGAAAACGTACCTTTCCTTCTTTTCTCCAGATGACCTCTGGAAGGCATCTCATTTATGTTGTTTTGCTAAGGATCTGGTCCATAGACAGTAAATCATAGTAATTGCTGTGTTTTGGTTGCGAATTGGTGATGATCGTTTCCCCATATTGATCTGGAGAGCTTTCATTATGAGGTGCCAGTTTGCTGTGTTTTTTAGCTTACATTAGTTTTTGCTACCCACAGAATTTTTACTTTGCATGTGTTTTGTGTCATCTGTGTTTGGGGCAGCTTTTGTGTTTGCAGCATATTTCCCCAGTGCTGTTCTCCAAGTTGCTTTTCTTTGTTTGTTTGTTTTTTACTTGCAGAATTTTCTAAGACTATTTGTCTCATTTTTGTGTTTGCTAGTCTAATTTTTGAGTCACCAGGAAATGTTGAATTTGCATTTAAATCATGTATTTATATGTTTGCAGCCCTTGACCATCATACATTTTTACTAAATGAAAGGGAACTGATAGTTACACAACAAATCCAAGCTATTGTGAAATGATCAACTGCTATCACTTTAAAGAAATGATACAATGTTATGTGTCTGGACTAAGTGATGGGTCTTTTTGTAAATAAATATATATGCAAACATTTCATCATTCTTAAAAATGTTATTAACGGTAAACAGCACTTACTGTGTTAACGTTAATTGCTAAGAGGACATCCAGTGTCAAAGAACTTGAGAATTCATTTGCATTTGTTGGTGCAATTAGTAGCACATTTTGACATGCACTAAATAGTAAATAGCATCAATGAGGGTAAGTTCCATTCTTACAAGTTTTGTTCATTGTTGCATTTTTCTTTGTCTGCATTTGATTTTTTCTGAGACCTCAGATGTTCTGAATATTTTGTGATTTATAAATCATGTCAAAGTTCAAATATTTGCTCTCCTACTGTATACTAACTCCTAAGAAAGATTTAAAATGGGGGAAATCATTAAATATGAGTAAACACAACTTTACAGCTATTCTAAGCTGCAGGTACAGATTTCCTCAACCGTGTGTTTAAAGAAAATCTGCCCGGAACTCATATCTGCCAGCAGGAGTCTTGAGAACTTCGGAAATGTCTGTGAGATCAAATGCATACTTTCATATTTCAGTCAAAACAAAGTTATAAAAGAAAAACACCCTTTAGGTTTAACTGGAAGTGCAGGGAGAAGTTGAAGGTCACTACAGCATCCCATTCAATGAGCAACATGGGAATTTCCCAAATGTTCAAGTCTGCACTCAACAGCCTCCACTCTTGGTAGACAGAGTGGATAATGGCGATGTCTTGATGCAGTAGCTCTTACATCCAGTGCAACTCCTGAATGATGTGAGCACAGATGGATGGGGATCTTTGCTGAGGCGGTCTACTGGGACATGCTGAGAAAAGGGCTTAAAAACAGAGAAACAAGGAGAAGAGAGAAGGACTTTTCATCAGGTTAATTCAGAGCTGCAGCTGTTGCCATCTTGCTGAGTTTCCCAGATCCTTAAACCATTCTCCTGGGAGACTCCAGTCACTCTGTTGGACCGAGCAGCTAATGAGCCGCCTTCTCACACTGTGTCTTCCTCTGTTCTTAGGCCCCCTTCTTCTTATGTCCCCCTGAACTTGGGACATAAGAAGGAAAAACAACTTGAAAATGTCCAACGTGCAACTTGACTGAGCTAATAATGAGATTTCATTAATCAAATCTGGCATTATGTCAACACAGCCATGAGGTAGGAATCTAGACAAGAAAGCAATTCAGTCACCTGATCTGGATGAAGTAGGTTTCTCTCTTTTAAAGAAAAAAATAAATTAAGGACAATTTGAAGTAATATCATTATAATTACAAGGGGCTGTTTGTCAAGGAGGCAACATTAAAAAAAAAAAAAAAAAAAGGAAACAAAGCTACATTCTATGTTGTGTATAATTTTTTTCTGCGAGTTTTGCTGAGGCTTATGTTTTTTATGCTACAAGGATGTCACCTAGTGGTGAGAAAGACAAAAAAATTACCAAACAAGGTAAGACTATATGAGAAAGAAATTCTCAATTCTAAGTTGGGAAATACTGATTTTTTTTTTACCAAAAAAGAAAAAAAAACCACTCGTATTATTTTACAATTTTAAACAATCTTAAATACATGCTACAGATTTCTATTCCTACTCATTAGGAATAGATATAGAAATGCAAGAGCACTAGTTGAGAAAATACATTATGGGCAAAATTTTGGAAGCTGCAATTCAAATTCAAACAAGCAGTTTGTCAGGTAAACAACAAATTAAGACCAAAGCTTTTAGTCGCAGAAATGATACGATTTGTGTCAGGCTTTCACCCAGCCATGACCTCCGAAGGCAAGAGGCTTTCTGTCTTTAAGTACAAAAGAAAAAAAATAATCCACTGGACTTTGTTTTCCAAGTTTGAAGACGTTTTGCTTCCCATCCAGGAAGCTATTTCATTTCAAAATATCTGGATAAGCGTTGAGTTCAAGGCTTTATAGAGTAGCCCACAACTCAAGCCTGGAACTCAACGCTGATTCAGACATTTTAAATCGAGAAAGTCCTGGATGGGAAGCGAAACGTCTTCAAACTTGGAAAACAAAGTCCAGTAGTTTTTTTTTTTTTTTTACTTTTTTGGAATGACTTACCTGGATGGCTGAGAATCTCCACAGCTCCACAAAAGGAATCTTCAGCTGCAGGTGCAGTGTTCCAGATTATTATTTACACATGACACATGCAGATTTCCAACCAAAATGAAGGTCTTTAATAATGATAAATCAAGCCTAACAATTATTAGACTCAGTCAGTAAGAGAAGTGTTAAAAAGAAAAAATAAGGCCAAATTTTTCATTTCACTTTTAAGAACAGAACAATGAATGAATCCTGCCTGGAGCCTTATCAACATTTAAAGAGGTAACTCTATTATTCCCACTTTTTCAGCTTGCATTTTCAAACCGTTTTGTCTGTTGCATTTTCTTTTTACTTTTCAATCCTAATTTAGCTTTAGCATCAACCTTTTGGTCCCTGAGTACACCTGAATAACCATAGGAGGTAGTAATTTGCTGCTTCACCTGATTACTTTATACTTCTGGAAAGAGTGGAAACTCAAGGGCATCTCTGATTTGGCAAAGTAGCAGTTTGATCTCATTGAATTATAAGAGAAACACAGTGTTGGATGGATGTTTCAGAGTTCTCCCTGATCTGCAGAAGTCTCCTTAAAGCACTTGCATCATCTGCACGTGCACTATCGATATGGTTAGCCAAAATGGTTGTTATCTATTGAGCCGCTCCAGATGTTGCTTGCTGCTTTTCTCCCATGCGTGAGCTTTATTGACAATTTTTGATAAATAAACACCAAATAGTTCACATCCAAAATGCAGTGGGAAAACTATTTAAAAAATGACATATGCACCAGGAACAATTTTGGCCAGTGCACAGTACCTCTTCATGTTGCGATCCAAGTGTGGTTGTATATCCAGTGAGAGACCTGGTACATCCCAGGAGCAACCGTGATTGGTTTAACGTGGTTTTTAATGTGCAAAGGATGACAGAATTACAAAAAAAGAGAGTCAAAAGGTTATGTAGCTTCTGAAGGGATTT